TGCAGGAGTGCATGGACCTGCGCCAGAAAGAAGCGGAAAGGAACAAGACCATCCTCGAGCAGAAAACGGCCGGCGCCAGGCTCAACGGCCAGCTCGCCCAGGCCAAGGCGGCGCTGGAGCAGCTGCAGGAGGAGGTGCGCAACATGAGGCGCAACGAGAAAGAGCTGCAGGCGGTGCTGCACGCCCTGAAGAAGGACGTGAAGAAGTGCGGCTGGGAGCCGGCCAAGATGGACGCCCTGCTTAAACAGACCAGAGAAGAGTACAACGTGGACTACACGAAGGCTAAAAACGAGGTGGGTGGCTGCGTTGACTGATTCAGAAGTTCTGAGTGGTTCGTGCTCTGAATGAGAACTCTAGTGTTGTTCCTTGCGTGTGTGAATTGAGTGATCTGGCGGATCACGCGGCGTCCTGGCGGCTGGTGGCTTGCAGGTGCTCGTGTGCTGAGTGTTCGGGCTTGCACTCTGGACAACAGAACGCAGGCTGGTGGCGACGTCTTTTGACGACTATTGACGTCTTTTGACGTTGCAGACACCTGCGCTGAGACCAGCAGCAGGTCCCGGTGCTGGATTGATTAGACATTGTCGGCGGCATCAGATTGCCTGCGACTCTTCATGCCGTTGGAATCGGTGTCTGAGACCGTGTGTGCCGTTTCCGCAGCGACTGGAGAAGGAGCGCGCCCAGCTGAAGCAGGAGATCAAGGCTCTCAGAGGCCAATTAGCCGGTGTGAATGCGAGCCAGGGGTAGCGTCGCCCCAATCTGTTATTTTTCTTTTGATTTTTTGAGCAGGCTGCACCGGCCCCAATTCCCTCCCACCGGCACGCATGCCTTGCGAATGGAAAGGAGTGAAGCTGACCCTTGTGCCCTACAACCTGGACGTTGGAGGTCTGGAGGGCAGGTCTTGCAGTCGTGTCCCCGGTAGGGCAGGGTTGGGTGCTGTAAATATTTTTGCAACCTTGGTTCTGTAAAATAGTTTGCCGAGCAAGGGTGACAGACTCTTTGACATGTAAGATTTGTTGATGATGACGATGCTGACAGACGCTGGTTGCTGGCATCGGCGGCCTCTGGCGTTCTTGCCGGCAGGACACTGTGTTTGAAAGATTCGCCACCATGGAGATTGTGTATTGCCATTCACCAGAGCGCCAAAGAAGACTGGCGCTCACGCGCAGGTGCCTTGAACGTTGAACTTTGAACGTTGAACGTTGAATGACGAGGACACGCGGCATGCAGTTGCCCTCACACTCTTTTTGGTTGTTACCAAAAGCTTTGAGGACGGACTATGGGAACTCGGGCTCTCAGCAAATGTTTGAGCGAGGATCACCTGTTGAAAATACTGTGTTTGCAGTGGACAGTTTGGGTGAGTATGATGTTTCCGGACGCAGCAGCGAGGCCCATGCCGCGCTCGCCTATTGTAGTCAAACAGACACTGTACCCTGCAATTGCAGTGCCTTATCGTCCATGACGAAGTTGAAGAAATTGGATACTTCTGCTGGAACTGCAGAAGGCAATCAAGCAGTCAAGAAAGGAAGAAGGAAAGGAACAACGAAGAGAAACAGTGATAGAAGACGACAAGAAGGAAGACAAGGGAGTGAATTCAATCCGTCATTGCTTTGAATGTACATCGCTTGTTGTTGGGGGGCCACTCCACGTTTACGTGTGGCGGGGGTGTACAGGGCTGCATTTTCTATGCAGGTGCAGCTCTGGCGTCACATTCTTAGGGAAGACGCTATGTCGAATTTGGTACGAGTAGCGTCAATTTGACGCTAAGGAGGGGGGTTGGGGGAGTGTCTGGACTTATGACGCTAAGAGATTATGCAATTGCGACAAAATCGGCATGAGATGGGAAGATACACAAAAGCGCCATTGGTCATCGGCAAACAGCTCATGATTTGTTCCAGAACTTCCTTCGAGCATTCAATATTGAATGTAGGCCTCAAAATACTTCAATAGAGAGCCATCAAGTCTGCCTCAAACACCCACAATGGCCATTATGACCCCGTTTTGCAGTCTATGTAACCGCTGCCATTCTGGCTATTTATGTTTCTTAAAAGCACCTTGAAACTGTCTATATTCGTTGTTATGTTGCTGTGTCACCCTGGCATCGACATAAGGATGGACGCTAGGGTGGAGGGTCTGGGAATAATGCGAAATTGATGCTAAGCGTATCAAAATCAACATAGCGTCTTCCCACTCCTAAGGACCGGGACTCAATCGATGAGCGGGATCCCACGGCCGGACACGCCAAAGGCGAGCGATATCAGCGAAAGGCTTATGTACTGGCGGCCAGAATGGCTGTGATGTGCTGACAGGTTGAATGGCGGCAGCAGGCGCACCGGCAGCCAGCGCCGCCTGGGCGTGTGGGTTTTGGCGCGCCACGCGAGACTAGCACTCCCTCTGACGAACTTGCCACAACATGCAGTGCAGTTCGACTGATGTGAGCTATGATGCAGCTGCTGCACATCGTCATGCCAAGCAGCGGCGCATCGGTGCTACACATCGTCACCCACGGACACACACACCAATCGCTGTCTCGCGGTAAGGCGTAGGTGGTGAGCAATCCGCGTCATTCCCATGCGTTCCCTGTCCTGTCTTGTCCCGTCAGACGTCTCCTGTCCTGTCTGCCAGATGTCTGCGCCGCGTTGAGAGCACCGGGCACGCATGCACGTGGTGTCTCGGGGCCTTGTTGGGTGTGACCCGAACGGATCCCAATGATTGAGAACTGCCATCAGCCTAAGGACGGGAAATTGATGGCAACCCCCATTCCCGCACGCGCCTCGTGCCGTGTGCCACCCAAGGGCCCCTGCGCCAGGCAGCAGGCCCCGGCATCGCTCTAGGAGTTTTCGTCGTATATTCGCAGCAAGAGTGTGGTTGCCACCAGCGCAGCGCAAGTCATTTGGTTGCATGGTGGTGGCGGCTCTGTTGCCCACGGCGGTTGTGCACCATTCCCGCCGCCGTGCTATAGTGGAAATGGGCGCAAGCGTGTGCCCCCAAGGCGTGCTCTTGACGGAGGGGCGCACGACCAGGGGAGCAGTGTGCTGTGAGGTGCGGGCTTCTTTCGTCGCCCGCATGAGCGCCGCTGCTGTGTGTGCTCCCCGCCGCCCTGAAGTGCTGGAGTGGCCCATCCCTCTGGGGCCTTTCTACCTCCCGGAGGCCAGACGTGGTCCTGGCTCACGAATATTCGCGAATACGGTCACGGTACGGTCGCGATTGCGCACGATAATGGTGTACTTGAGAACCATTTCCAGGCCACAGGGGCACACGGGGGGGCGCGTCACCAAAGCAGCAACCCCTACCATCGGCGCTGCCGTGCAGTGGTAGATTGGCCGGTCGCCATTCCCCAGTTTAGCGCCGGTCTGGTGTACACCAGTCGACGTGAAGATCGGCGTGAAGATGGGTGTACGCCAGACGGGCGTCAGTAATAAACACGTGTGCTTACTACACCCCCCTCTCCCCCCCCATCCGCCACCCAACCTGAGTTCAACGAACGCGTGCGTCTGTCCTGTCCTCGTGAGCTGCGGCCCAATCAATCAATGACTGGGGCACTGGCAATGGAGCGCAGCGGTTGCGGCCGTTGAGGCCCAGCGCCGTGAACGGGGCCCCGTTGTACGGAAGATGCCGTACCTCGTGTTTGTTGTAGACTCTTATGGCCCAACGAGCCCACCGCCCCTGGCCCCTCCCGGCACAAGTCGTCGCGCCCATCGGAGAGGCCCCAGAGCAGTGCGCCAGGCGCCCATCCACCCTCGCAAAAGGCGTGCGGAGAGCGTCCAGGAGCCGCGCCGATTGCATCTTCCCCACCACCCGGCGACATGGGACGGAATCAGAAAGGTCCCAAGAAAAAATCGGCGCTGGATTGGCTGCGCAGCGGCACGCACCCCGGCCTCGTGGCCTCCAACCTGTTCGAAGCGTCCGCGGAGGGCCGGTCGAGCGACTCCGGGGAGGACAACGCGAAGGAGGAGAGGCGGGAGGAGAAGCCGCTGACCTGCGTCGTCTCGTCACTGTCGGTGAACGAAAATGACGACGACGACGACGTTTCCACGGCCGGATCGCTGAAATTGTGGTCTCTCGACGCGGTGCGGGCGTCCGGCGACCGCGCCAGGGACGGAGTGTACAACGCGCCGGACGGAAGTGGGGACCTCAGGAGGAGGAGAGACGCCCTGCGATCGGAGGGGGTGGGCGTGGACTGGGAGGAGCAGAGGAGGAGATTCGTTGGTCTGCAGGCGATGCACGGCGGCGCATTCGAGGGGGCCAAGTTCACGGGCGACAGCGCCGACGAGGTGCGGAGTGCCGTCCGGGGCCTGCGGTCCCAGACGCGGCCGACGGAACGGGATGGAAGGCAGCGGCGGGGGGAGGAGGCGGGGGGAGTCGGGGAATCGCCGTTTGATCGCAATGGCTCGGGCGGGGACCGTTTGGGCGCGTCGGGGCGGGGATTGGACTTCGGTCGGAGCGGCGAGGGATGTGAGGAGAGGGACGGCGGGGCGGGGGAGTCCAGGGGCCGGGAGTGGGGCCTCAACGACCTGCTGTCCACGCGGTCGTCGTCCGGGAACCTGTTCGAGGGACTCGGGGAGGACGAGCGCCGGCGGCCGGCCGAGGACCATCGATCCCCTCCTCCGGAGGAGCGGGCGACGGCGAGGCGGGCGCGGGAGGCTGCGGCGCGGCGGGGGGAGGCTGAGGTGTTCATGGACCACGTGGCGAGGGTGGCCACGGATGTGGTGCGCGGGCAATACGAGGAGCAGCTGCGCGAGGTGGAGGCGGGGTGGAGGGAGCGGATGCGGGGACTGGTGGAGGAGGTGGGGCGGCTGAGGAGGGAGGGCGGTGACGGCCGGGAGGAGATCCAGGGGGCGGCGCAATCGAGGGAGGACGGCGCGCAGCCGACCGACTCCGTCGACCGCGGATCGGAGGTGGGGTGTCCTGGGGCGGGGTGGGGCGGGGGGGCGCGTCGGTGGACCTTCGAAGGGGCGCGAGCCGGGGCAAGCGTTTTTGGTTATGTGGAAGCGCGCGTGGGATGCGGTTGGCGCTCAGAGGCGGGCGTTCTTCACGGCGCCTCGCCTCGGGCACCGGAGGCGGTGCGGTTGATTGGGATCCGTCATCGTTCTCTTGCATAGCAGGGCAGTGGATGGCGGTCAGCGGTTGATTGGGATTCATGCCGGTGTGGTGGACTGGAAGCGCGCCCTCATGGGCGCGTGTTTTGAGGTGATGCAATGCAGTATCGAGGGGAAAAAAGGGTTGTTCGAGGAAAATTTTGGGATAGCATTTTGGGTTGGTAGTTTGGGAGACGACCTGGAGGGCAGTGGGGCATGTGTCGCAGAATGGCTGTTCTGTCATGCATGGCCACTTTATCTGGAGTATCTTCAAACAACCTCCGTTGACAAAACCAGTGCATCTTGCCAGCGCCTCGCTGGGGGCGCGAGACGTGCGAGTGCGCCTCCCTGACGTCGCGACTGAAGAAGTTGACGTCAGAAATGGCGATGCTGCAGGTCAAGCTGGGTGCGGCGCTGGAGGATAGAGAATCTGCGCTGAAGCGGGTGGGGCTCGAGAGGGACGTGGCGATGGCGAAGGGGGAGCTGGGGGGCGCCGTAGCCGGGAAGGAAGAGGCGGACAGGTAAAACCTCGCCGCAGATGCGCGCCCATGCCCTGACAGAGCAGATCCGCACATGATTGATTGGGGCTTCACATTGACTGGCTCAGCCCATTTGCCTGTGACAGGCGGACAATGTGAAGTGTGAAGTCATGAACTTACCTGTTGTGATTGATGCTTCTCTCGCAAATAGGGAAACATGTCGCACACCTTAACCGGGCGCCAGTTGTGGGTCCACATCCTGGCAGATGAATTGCATCGTGTTAGCCAGTGGTGGGACCACAATTGAGAAAGCGATGGCGAATATTAGATGCCAGGAGACAGCTTCCTGATTGTATTCATCACTGGGGCGGCGCACTTTCTTTTGTGTCCATTTCGCTCGATCGCGCCCTCCCCTGAGGGAGCAGGCCGCCGAAAAAGTTGTCGCAACCACAGCCCCGGCCCCGTACACGGCGTTGCGCGGGGCAGAAGCCGCCTGTTATCAGTTGAAAAAGCAGGGATACTTCATGAACATGCACATTTCCCAAACATTCTCCGGGGAATGTCCACGCGATGCCGTAGATCCGTGGCTCAGCACGTCACATTGCCTGCGCCTCGAAAGAATAGCCAAAGTAGCAAAAGTAGCGAAAGTAGCAAAAGTACCAATAGTACCCAAAGCCAGCTGGCTGACAGGGAGGCCCGCCACAAACGCATTTATCGGAAAATTACAACATATAGATTGCCCATTGTCTCATTCGGCGTGTTCGGTCTCTTGCACAGGCAACTGCTTGTGGTTCACTAGTGCTATCGCGTATCCCTCCTTATTTTCGCGAAATATTACCAACGAGCTTGGGAATTTCAACTGGTCTTTCGACGCCAATTCTGCATTTTTGCATGCGGACGCTTTGGTGTGAGCGTCTATGAATGTGTGCATAATTGCATTGATCTTAACAAGTAGCTGCCGATTCGTCCATTTGGATTGGGGGGCATTTACAACCAACACCCAAAGGCTGTGATCGAAGGCCAAGCAGCAGATCGATGCACAGCGCAGCTTTGGGCTGGCAAGGATGAGGCAGCCGCCGACGGCGGGGCTGAAATCTAGGCTTATAATTGGCAACACTGGTTGATTAATAACCACATTGAATCTATGGCAAGACGGTTGTGATAATTTAGTATATGCCACCTCTGTTTCGGGTGGACATTAATGTTGTGTAAAAGTGGTGCTCTCTGATGGGCGTTTCTGTTCGTGTTGCCCAGCAACAGGCAGATAGAGATTTCCGAGGTGGAAATGAGGAAGTTGAGGGGAGACCTGAGCAGGGCGTTGGGCAAGAACGAGGCGTACGAGCAACGATGCGAGGAGCTGGAGGCGGAGCTCAAGGTGGGCTTCCAGCAAATTCTCTTACACCGTTTCTCATTTGCCCAAACTTGCAAATTCGACTGCAGTAGTTTCGAAATTTCGATGTTTTTTTTCAATTTCTTAGCTCTTCCATATTTCAGTTAAACACGTCTAGTGATAGGACAGCACTTATGGAAAACTGTGGACGATGAAATCTGCTCAGAAATATTAATCGGGAGTGCAGGTTCGACGTATGACATAATCTACCGTACTTTGGATGAATTCACAGCAAATTTCATGGAGCACATTATTTTGGAATTTTCATTGATTATGCTTATATTTCTCATGCGACGGGAGTACAAGACGTGGGAAGGACGAACCCCGGCGCCTGGAGCCAGAGAGCTGACGATGGACCACCACCTGATTTCGTTTCAAACATATATTTTTTTAGTGTCTCCTTTTGTTTTATTTTGTGTGCGTGGGCATGAACATGGCTCATAAGGTTAGCCTACTCCCAGGGGTGGGTGGGGTGGGGGCACTACTCGTCTCCGAAATTTACGAACCTTTTTGGACAGTGACTAGGGGCCATTAAGTCCTGCAAGCACCTTGCTGTATGCATCTACATATGACGATGCAAGATGAGAAATGTTTTGCCGTCTCAGGAGCACCGCGATGAACTAATGATGGCCAAGAAGAATGCAATGAGGATAGGAACTCAGGGCAGGGTAAGGAAGCTTGCCATCGTTGCAGGACAGGAGACTGTCGCAGCAAGCGAATGTTGTACAACGAGAGTAATAGTACTGTGAATATGCAATGGCAGCCACGTTTCCATACACCAACGTCGTTCTGCCGAGTTTTCCGCGCTTCTATCCGTGCCTTTCAGGCACAGAACACACTGTGGCTCGGCTGGGAGGCCCGGGCCCTCGTGCATGCTGTGGTGGTTTCGCCGCGAGCTGTTTGTCACCCTTGTGGGCTGCCTCTGTTCGCAGAAGATGGAGGCCGAGCGCCGGGCCCTTGAGGCCAGACTCGCGGCCTCTGAGGAGCGCGCGGAAGCGAGCGCCGCGGCCTGCAGCCAGTGCGAGGAGAAGCTTCGCGCCGCGGAAGCGTCGGCGAGACGCATGGAGCGGGAGCTGAAAACCGAGTGCGAGAGGCATGGGCGGGACGGGGCGGACCTGCTGGCCGCCAACCAGGAGATCGAAGCGCTCAGGAAGGAGAACGACCGTGTGGTCGAGGTGCGACTGCTTGGCCGTTGCATTTGATTCCATTTCCTGGTGCCACTCTCCAATTTCCCAATCCCGCATTCTTCGATTCTCCGATATTATTTCGACATTCCGCTGTCCAGCTTCGATTCTACTGGATCGTATGCTTCTTGGTGCTGTTCGTTAATTTTAAATTACATTCCTGACTTGGCACCAATATGTGTGTGCGTGGGTAATTTTTTGTGTGTGTATATACGTGCAGATGCAGTATTGTGCGTGCCCCTCCTGGATTGAATTTTTCAACAAGAATAGGCAGAATAATTGGATTGGTGCCCACCACAGGAGTGCCGGGACTTGCGCCATTTTGAGGCTGGGAGGAACAAAACCATCTTCGAACAGAAAACGGCCAACGCCAGGCTGGTCGTTCAACTGGGACAGGCCAAATCTGCGATCGAGAAGCTTCAAGAGGAGCTGCGCGTCGCCAAGCGTGGGGAGAAGGAGATGCAGGCGGTTTTGCACGCGTTGAGGAGGGACGTGAAAAGTTGCGGGTGGGAGCCAGCCAAGATGGACGCCCTGCTGAAGCAAACAAAGGAGGAGTTTAACATGGATTACGCAAGGGCCAAGAACGAGGTGAGGATCTGGAGTGACCGAATGCTAGCCTTGCGGAAAGACGGGTGGTTGGCCAGAGCCAATTGAGCGCAAAGCCTTGCATTCAGTTTGTACGTAAGGCTCGAAATTAGCTGCTAACAAGCAATTGCGTGGTTGCTCGAGATTTTACTCGTGATTTTAATCACACAAATATGTGATCCTTCAGGGATTTGCAGCATTGTCATTGGGAAGGCTTGTTCAAAGCCCACGTGCACCACTTGATCTGATCTGGGCATCCCCTTGTAACATAATGTTTATTTCTGCAACAGAGCAACTTGCTTTTGTTGAACAGAATATTATTTATTATCCTTGGCTGAACTCGAACTGATGACGAAGTGGTTCCCGTCTTTTGACTGCATTTTACACAATGCCACCCACTCTGATAGCAGATGCGGCTGCAGCGCTGACCTAACCACTTAATGGCCATTTGCCGTTGTCGGCGCATTCAAGTGCCCCGGAGCTTGCTCATCTGCCATACATTGTGTCTGAGACAGCGTGTGTCTTTTCCTCAGCGCCTGGAGAAGGAGCGCGCCCAGATGAAACAAGAAATCAAGGTCCTCAAGGGCGAGCTGACCAAAGCGAAGGGCGTCCAGGCGTAGCATCAACCTGGAGGGGCATTTTTTGTCGTTGCCGTTTCGGCAAGCCGCAGCAGCCGAACCTGTCGCGATGGCACACGCGCCTCTGCCGCGCGGCGAGGAAGGCGTGCCGTCCACCATTGGGCTTTGGGACTCACCCTTGGGTCTGGAGAACGATTCTTGGGGATGGGACTCCAACGGCGGAGCCAGTGCCTCGCCGCCGTTGTCGCAACTCCTTGTGAAGTACCAGTACTCGCAATACGCTCAGAGGCACTATTATTCAATAAGGAGAGTCTGAACTATACAATAAACATAACGCAAGTGTGATTAGGGAAGTAAAATTATGAGTTGAGCGATGTGCAAGGATAGCGTTTTTGGAGGCGGTTCCTAACGCTACTGCTGCAATCGACTTGAGCAACTGTTGGAAGGGTTATTGTACTGCTTCCTGTAGAAATGTAGACTTAGCTAGATCCAGCTAGGGAGCCGACGGCCATCCCCTTGGCTTGGCATGTAATACTGTTAGACTGAGGAGCCGATGGACTCTTGGATTGTCGCTGAATGCAGTGCCAATTGGCCCCGAAGATTTGCCACTACGGAAATGTCATTTTACAAGCAACCGAAGCGCCAATTCCAGAAGAAGATGACTCTCTCGCATAAGCTGGTTGGGGGTGGGCGAGGGCGAGCAGACTTGTGAAGTGTGGCGCAAGATCGTGGGCCGGCTAACACCCCCTCCTGCAGATTTAACGACACTGTGGTGCTTAGTTATCAACAAAATGACACATTTGCTATGGGCTTCAATGCAAGCAGATGTAATCAATCTGTATGCACACAAGAAGAATAAGAGACAATTAACCCCAGTTTTCATGTGCTGGACAATTGATGTTTGGATACAAAATCTGATAACCAGGCTAGTTGCTTAATAAGACGGCACCATTTTTATGTAAACAAATAACAGTTGATTTTGCTTCTATGTTTACGTGCTTTTACGGCTCGTTGAGACATCTAGGTCTAACCAGTAGTAAATGATGAAATTGCAAGCAATGCCCAGTCCTCGGCCCCCTTGAGCAACCGCAACACAGCGTCCATCTCGCTCTCATCAAGGGCAACAACATCGCCGAACAATATGTCGTTTCTGTTCGCTCCAGAGCGTCTGGCTGTCACTGTCCAGACTCCCTGAGTCTGTGCGTATTTTCTTTATGTGCACAGACCCCGTACTCACCTGTTTTTTCGTGTTTTATCGCAAAACCATAAATGGCATTTTCTCTCTCAAATACGTGAATACACGGTCTGTTTTCGTGGTAAATAACAACCCAGGGTAACTGCACACATCATATGTACACATACATTAGCAGAAAAGGATAAAAATATTTTTTTAAACACACATGTATGCAATTTCATCAGTGTTCTGTATGCCAAAAACACGAAAATAACACAAACCTGTAAATTTTGTACACGTTTGAACACGACCATTTTGGCATTTTTTCCCTGGTGATAATCCCACAATCACGTGTAGCGTGGGTTTGTCTTAGAATATCGTCCCAGATGGTTCACCAGTCCCTGAACGTGTTTGCTTAAGGTGGCTGAATCCTCTTGAGTTCGAATTCATGCCAAGCTGGTGTGCATTTTGGCAGCAATTCCGTGGAACTACTGCCAAAAGACTTGCAAGCTTGGTGCGAAATCGAACTGGAAAGGCAGACCTTTGTGCGCCTGCACGCTTTCTAAAGCACTTTAGAAGTACCGCTAGCAGAAGTAGAAGTAATGCTAGAAGTACTACCAGTAGTGCATGGAGATCAGAGCAAACACTCAATGTTTAGCAGCCCCGTTTCCACAGCGTGTTCTCCCTGCCATTTGACCAAAGCGCTGATTGATTAGCAGCCGGGTCTTCTCACTGTTCGCGACGCTGAGCGGCGGTCTCCGTTGCGCTTCTGACTGTGCTGTCATGTTACGTCATTCAGTCCGTCAACGATGTGGCCCGCTTTCAGTTGAGTGGCGACAATCCCAATGGTCCACCCGGCAGCTGCACAAGAAGACGCCGGACGTGGGCTGTCCAGATCACTCACATGCGTTCCCTTTCCTGCCAGTGACGACATGTGCATGCCGAGTTCGAGGACCGTGCATGAATACACGTGGCGCCCCGAGGCCTTTCTGGACATGGCGCACAGGGAACCCGAGGATCGGGACTGGCCATCAATATGGAGGACCACATGTTGGGACAAGGACAAGAACGAAGTGCCCCCTCCAATCTGACTGCGTTAAATGAAGATGGCGCATTTACACACAGATTTGCCTATTTACATGCAAACGTACGCATTTAGGTGCAAATTGCGCAGCAAATTGCGGCGGCCACGAATTCTAGTCACAGACGCGTCGTGCCAGACAAGGGGGCTCGAAGCGCGCCGGGGAATTGTCGTTCCATCACATCAATTTCATCGACGCAGTCCAAGTCCTTTGATTGCGTGGTGAATGCAAGTCATGGCAGCCTCGAAAACGAGGGCGATGCTGGGCTCAACCGCCGGTCCAGCGGGCGCAACTTGGCCCAAGACCTGAATGGGGCGCGTGCCCGGCATGTTACCGCGGGATCTCGATCCGAAGCGATTGAAACTCCGAGACTGCGGGCAAACCCCAAAGAGGACAGAGGACCCCCGGGCCCGGGCTCCAACGTTACGGTACAGCCCTGCGATCTTCCCGCCCAATGGCAGGCTGAACATGTAATTATAATTACATATTCAGAAAACGTCACAAACCGTGACAAAATGTCCACCTGATCCAACTCCAACAAACACCTATCCGTCACCAACCCACCAATACAGCTTGTCCATGCAGTTCAAGAACCCGGGTATGTCACCCGCAAGCCAAAGAGTGCCTTTTCCGGTCCCAAATGTTCATCTCGAGCGAGCTTCCAACAATGTCAAAAACAATCCCAACAAAACCCAAGGAGAGGGCGGGCAGGGAGAAAACAAAGTGCAGTCTGATGGCGCGTCGCCTCCTTAGGCCTCGGCGCTGCCAAACAGTTCCCGAACGAGCCGAAACCCGGCCCCAAGGACCGTTGCCTGCCTTGGGGCCCCAGCAGCAGCATGTTCCCGCGCAAACTGGGCGCCCTGCTGACAGAACACTGTCGGGTAGCAATTTTTTCGCCCGCCCATCTTCGGGCCTCCCATAAACTAGCTTACTGGACATAACCATCCCTTACGGTACAGCCCTGCGATCTTCCCGCCCAATGGCTGGCTGAACATGTAATTATAATTACATATTCAGAAAAACGTCACAAACCGTGACAAAATGTCCACCTGATCCAACTCCAGCAAACACCTATCCGTCACCAACCCACCAATACAGCTTGTCCATGCAGTTCAAGAACCCGGGTATGTCACCCGCAAGCCAAAGAGTGCCCATCTCCAAACAATACGGCCCTGGCGGCAAGCGCGAGCAAAGTACAGGGCCGGAAAGGAGGGGGAAAACGAAGATGCCCCCATCAAGGCGACGGGACAGGAGGAGGAGACGGCGCGGAGAAGATGTCACGAATCTCGTCGCGAAGGGAGTCAGCGGCGACAAGCATCCAGCCAAAAAGGCGGTAGTCAAACTCAGTAGGCCGCCGCTGCAAATCCACATACTTCCACAAAGCCGCGGACCCCGGGGCCCACCACCCCCAATTACGAACCTGGGCCGCAGGCACCAGTACGGCAAAGGCGGAGGACGCCCCCGTACGCCGCACGCAGTGGTGGCGGTAGGCCTGCCCCGCCGCAGTGAGGTGGCGGGCGGCCTCGAGGAACCAGGTCTGAACAGAGCGGGCCGAAGGGGGGTGGGCATCAGAAGGAAGGCCGTAGAAGAACTCGATGTGGCCGCGGCGGCCAGGAAGGTGCTGGGCGCGGCAGATACGCGCAGGCGGACCCAATGACGGACGACCCGAGCCAGGTCGGGGAAGCCGCGGTAGTCGAAGGCCCGGATGCGCCAGAGAAGGGCCCGAGTAGACTTCGACTTGTGGCGCCGCTCCCGAAAGAACAGATGCGTGGGGCAGGACGCCGTGGAGTCGCCCGCGGGGTTGCCGAGCCAGATGTCGTCCATCAGAATATGGAAGCCGGAGTCCGCCCGCGAAAAGAAAACCGTGTCCAGGATGAGGGACACGAAGGGCCGAACCCGATAAGGATTGGGCTCGGCCAGGGTGAGGGCAGCCAAGCGGAAGAGGTCCTCCGCCGGAAAAGCGAGGACAGAGTCGCGGTAGGCGGCCGGAGGGGCGTTGACGCGCCAGGCCCGCAAGAGGCGGGCAGTAATGGCGTCATGGGCGGAGCCCCCCGCCAGGCCCGCCCACGCACTGACCGTAGAGATGGCGGAGAGGTAGCCCCCGGCCGAGTCCACGGATACCCGGCCCTCGGCCTTTAAAAAGAGCACGAAGGCGTAGAGCATCTCGGGCGAGGTCGGGAGGGCCCGCCATCCGTGGGCGGTGCACATGCGGGCGAATTTTTGGAACTTTCGCCAAATAGCCTCGCGGCCCGATGGGGCGTTGGCCTCCACCATCGACTACATGACGGCCAGCCGCTCCTCGAGGCGGAGCCGCGGAAGCTCCAGCGAGAAATCGGTAATGGAAACAATGGAAAGCCCTTTAAACCAGCATGCAGTGGGAAAGGAGCCAAAGCGGGGGAGAACTGCAATGACGACGAACGGCCGTGACCGGCCAATTGGGGCCTGAGCCCCACTGCGGAGAGACGGGGCACCAGCCCTCAAGTCGCTGGCTGGCGGTTGAACCGCGCGCACCGCCGATCACAAGATATGCACTTGGGTAGGACTCCGGAAGGCTCACCAGCGATGGAAAGTTAGAGAACGGGGGGTTGCACCAGTTGTTGTGCAGCCCCCAGTCGGTCTGGGCGAAGGCGTCGATCCCGCTCGTCATCGGGCACCACCAGCGGCTGTTGAACGTAGGCACCAGGCAGTTGGTGGTCGTCGCGAAGCGGTCGATGGCGAAGGGGCCCCAGGTTCGGTAGAGCGCCTGAAAAGCGCGCGGATGGAGGGCCCAGTCCTCCGTGTCCCGC